TAAGATTAGACTTAAGACTTTCCTTTTTGATAAAGCTTATAGTTAGGGCTGGATCAGGTGACCCTGAGCCTTCCCTTAGCTATGCTGCCATAGGCCTAGGCTGCTGGGGGGCCCCATGATGCTCTGAGTTTCTCTCCCCTCCCCTCTGCTCTCCTCCGCTCTCCTCTCCTCTCTCTCCCTATGCTTCTATATGCCACCATTACACATCACCAACTTTGTGTCTCCTCTCTCCCGTAGTGTGTCCTCTCTCTCTCTCTCTGTACCTTTCTGCAGGTTGCCCTGGCTCTGGAGCTCTACGTCTCTGACGAGCAGTCACCAGCCACCTCGACCTGATCAGTGTTTGATTATTTGTTGTGTCTTGTTGCTTTTCTTCTTTTGTCTCTCCTCTATCCACTCACCCCAACCGGTTGAGGCAAAAGGCCGCCCACCAAGAGCCGTGGTCTGTCGGAGGTTTCTTCTGTTAAAGGGAGTTTTTCCTCCCCACTGTCGCCAAGTGCTTGCTCAAGGGGGATTTGTTGGGTTTTCCCTATGTAATAATGGTGATAACAGTAAGGTCTAGATCTTACTTTGTAATGTGCCCTGAGATGACTTTTGTTGTGATTTGGCGCTATACAAATAAAATTTGATTTGATTTGATTTGATTTTGTGCTATAAAAATAAAACGGAACTGAATCTGTTGAGGATCTGTGTGAAGATGGGGCCAGCTGATCAGCACAAGTTTTCAGGCAGGAGGGAGTCACCTGGTCCTTAACCAGGACCCCCACTCCCTCCCCTCGCCTCTGTTTTTTTCATATAGAGGGCTGCTGCCCCGCCGATCAAAATGTACACACAGCATTTTGCATTAGCAAAAATCTGAGAAAAGGTGTTCAGAGTGAATTGTCTGTTTAGTAGCTTATTTCTGATGAAGGTAGTTCGGGATGGGTTGCAGAAGACAAAACAAAACAACAAACACTTGAGAGAGTGCACAATCGAGGCAGCCATACGCAGCGCTGCATGATTGAATGCGATTCTGCTGGAGTGTGTGTGTGTGTGTGAAAAGGGAAGGCCAGGGTTGGTGTAAATTGTTAAAACATATAGTACCGATAAGTGTAGGTGCAGTGATTATGAGACAGAAGGTAAAACTAGTCAAAACAATCACAGACAATATAACACTAACTTGTAGTCAGCTCAGCCAGTCAGAAAAGATGTATTAACACAAAACAACTATAGAAAGAGCAAAATGAGACAGACTGACAGAGCAGTTTGGAGGCTTTTTGGTTTTTGTTATTGCCTTTTCTATAGTTTTTACAGTGCGTCTGTATGTATGTACCTGGTCCTCCTCTCCGCCTCCCTCCTCATCGTATTTGAGGATATTGTCTCGGACATCATCCTCTGGGTCAATGAGGAACTGCTTGGCCTGACGCTCCTTATCCCTCCTCTTCATCCACATCACAAACAGCAGCACCAGCACTGCAGGACAAGTGTGATAAAAGACCATAAGGACAATACTGAGCAAGAATTCAAGTCTGTACTGAACATCAGTGAGTTTGGGTGGTCACTGATGCATAGTCAGTGGTTCATGAGAAGTTTCTGGGGGGGGGGCTGTGACACTGCACTGACAACTCTTGTGTTCTTAGAGCTGTGCTATTACAGTAAAATATACAAAGTGTGACCTCAGGCTGGTACTACAGAACATGCCATGCCATTTAATTAAAACCATTTTTCCTCTTGGGAACCTGAAAGTCCTTAGCAAATATTTTTTTACTTCTGTTTTTATTATATGCACTACTTATGAACAAGTGTGCTGTAAAAGTGACAGAGACGACTATAAATTTGGCCTAACAGTAGCAGGCTAGAAGGAAAGGCCAAAATGGACAGTTATCTGATCATTCAATTTGGAGACAACATAAAAGTGAAAGGTTTGGCTTTAGTGTAAAGTTGGTCAAGGGCCTAAAGTTCTCCTAAATTCTATGGTAATGTGGCTTACAGGTGCAGCTCAATAAATTAGAATATCGTGGAAAAGTAAAAAATGGACTCTTCCACAATATTCTAATTTATTGAGCTGCACCTGTATACTGTCCACTGAGTGTTGGATGAGTGAAGGACAATGCTATAAGGGCACAACTTTAGCACTGCAAAACATGGTTAAGAATTTTATGTGGTCGGTAGGTATTCTGTCAAGGTGCTGCTTCATTATGAAAGATTTGCCAAAATGGCGGCGCGTACATATGCAGCGGCTCTCGGCATTTTGTTTTTCTATGCATATCTTTGTTCGTGTTTTTGTTGTCACTACAGTTTTCTGAAGCCACCATCCAGTATGGAAGACATGAACTACTTAAAACAGGGAAACAATATGAACTTTACGCACCTACGAAGCTGGACTTTATTCCACCAGAGTTACACCGGACCACTACGGCTCTCACTATCCCCCCTTTGTGGCCAAGTAGACGGAGGCGACATCGTAAACAAAAGAGGGGTAAGAGAAGCGGCCTGCGTACTAGGCTACATGCTAACCCACACAGGCCGGCGCTCCCTAGTCTCTTCCTCACAAACGCAGGTCACTAACCAACAAAATAGATGAGATTCGGCTGCGGATCGTCTCACGGAGGATGGACAGACGTGTGGCGATTATAACTGAAACCTGGTTGGATGACAACATCCTGGGCGCTGCGGTGGAGCTGGAGGGACGCTCCTTGTTTCGAGCAGACAGCCGCAGCATCTGCTAAACAGAGAGGTGGAGGTCTGGCGCTGTACATCCACAACTTCTGGTGCACAGCTACGGCCATCATTGGAACACAATGCTCCCCCGACTTGGAATTTCTGGCAGTAAAATGCAGACCTTTTAAAACAGTGAGAGAGATTTGCTCAATCCTGATTGTAGCCGTCTATATACCACTACGAGCTAACGCTAAATTAGTGCTGGAGGAGCTGTACTGCCTGATCAGCAGGCAGATGAACGCAAACCCAGAAGCGGCTGTGATTGTGGCTGGGGACTTTAACCATGTGGAACTTAAAGCAGTGTTTCCCAGATTCTACAGATTAATCAATTTTCCAACCAGGGACAATAACATCCTGGATCAGGTTTATTGCAATATCCGGGGAGCTTACAAGCATAGCAGCTCCACACTTGGGCATGTCAGATCACATCTCTGTGGAGCTTATCTCACCATATAAACCTTTGATTTGCAGGACAAACGCAATCACCAAAACAGTTAAGGTGTGGACGGAGGAGGCTTCTTCAGCATTACAGGACTGTTTTGAGCATACTGATTGGAGGCTTATACATCAGCTGTTCTGGACTATGTGTAGCTCTGTACTGATGCTGTCCTACCTACAAAGTCCATCAGGGTTTTTCCAAACCAGAAACCATGGTTGGACAGTACACTGTCACGTCTGCTCAAAGCTTAGGATGCTGCCTTCAGATCAGTGACAGGCTGGCCTATAGCAGGGCCTGGAAAGAACTAAAGAAGGGCATCTGGCTGGTACAAACAGGGCATTGAGGCCACTTCATGAATAACAACACACAGAGTATGTGGAGAGGCATCAAAACAATGACAGACCACAGAGGCAACAACCAGCAGATTAGCCATGATCCCACCCTCCCTGACACTCTGAATAGTTTTTTTGCACGCTTTGATACACCTGGCAGCAGAGGATCTGTACAACTCCCTCAGCTCGAAAAACAGCACCAGCATCTCGTCCTGCAGCTACACCAGGTGAGCGCCATCCTGAGGAGGATCAACACCAACAAAGCTGCAGGACCAGACAGGGCGTTGTTAGGTAATTTCTTAGTTAGATAGATATTGATTAGAGATCTGTTGTATTAGAAGATGTTAGTGTAGCCAGGATGTCTTCCTCAGGCTGTTAAATGCAAGGTTAGTTAAAGCAGAGAAAGGCTGCCGTCAGGGATAAATGTTATTATGACGGTAAAAGTGACCATAATATTTGTCTTAATGTGTAATGTTATGTCAAATTGTTTTAGATACACACCACGAAACCACCAGCCACACACCTTGACTTTTCCTCATGTTTTGGCTAACGTTTATGGCAGCTGCAAGGCTTGCTTATCAGGTGACGTCACGGTTCGACAGCCCAGAAAGGATTAATATTGTATAGCAATGCTTGGTTCGGGGTCTTCCTGCTTCCGGGCTGCTTTGGCAGGCTGGGGGTTTGGAAGATCTCTGGACTGGAAGTGTGGATTCTTGCCTGTGACTTTTTGAATAAACCAGCACGGTTATATTTTTTATATACTCAGGTGGTCTGAGTCGTCCCTCTGAGTTCCTGGTTTGAAAGAACCGGATGAGGCTTTATAATGGTTTTTAGCCTTTAAGTGGTGCCGTTTGACCCGGGGAGCAGATGAGCTCTGCAGGACGACCGGTCCATTTCCTGAATAATGTCCCGGACCGACAGTGGTAATCCTGTGCCAGGCTGAGCTGAGCTGGAGATCTGGTATGAGTTGAATATTTCCCTGATCAGAGAGTGCCCTTCTGGGTTTAGTCAGAGCGGTGAGCACTTCCACACATTAACTGGCCGGCCACAAGATGAGGTGCGCGGGACCTTTTTTACACATAAACTCCGCAGACATTGGAGATTTCTAAATAAAAGTTAATGTGTGGATTGCGCACTCTCGACGTTCCAAATTGGATCCAAAAAACAGTAAGGGTAAGAAAAACACAAGTCTCATTATCTGTGTTTGAAATGCTGTGCTGGTCTATTTCATTTTCTCACATGTAGAGATAATTGAAATACATACTCATTTTTAAGGATGAATGAATGACTGCCGTGATTACAGAATTTGATACCAGTAAGAGATGTAGGAATTCACAGGTTTATAAATGAAATTTCTGCTATTTCTTGACAGATTGTCTCCTCAAAATTCCCATTTCCTTTTTTATTTTTCTCCCCGTTGGAAATCAGGCAGTGAGATATCTTGCCTGAATGAGGATCTCTGATACATTCCACACTGGTGACGGCAAAAAGGGAATTACCAGGTTGTTTCTTATTCTTTTTATGGAATGTGTGGGTGGTTTTGCTGTTTGAATGCTGTTTAAACACTGGCATATGTGTATCTCAATAGATCATTCCACTTGGGGCGCTGTCACGTGTAATTTTTAATATGTTTGCAAACGTTGTACAATGTAGAACTAAATGGTCAAAATATATTTTCTAAAGAAGAGCAGGAACAAATCAGATGCCAGACTAAAACAAGCTGAGTGTTTTCTTGCGGTTATGTATGCCTTTTGGACACTTTTAAGTGTTTTCAGCCTCCTTCAGTCAGTTCAAGCAAGTAACAGAAGCCAGTTGATGTTTTTTTTTCTCTCCCAGTGGCACAGTTGGGTTTTTGTTTTTTTTCTCAGTCCAAGCAGTCTCTCAGAGATAGTGGCTGGCAAATTTCAAGGTCATACACACACACATTTGCACCCCTCCTCTGGCACAGAGGAAGTTAGAAGTGAGAAAAAATTTTCAGAATAAATGCCAAATGCCAATGCTAAATATTTCACCCTTAGTTGTTGTGCACGGTGGAATTTTACAAACAGACACTGCATTAATTGACAGAGTTGGTCTGTTGTTGCGTAGTGCTGTTGACTCTCTCTTAGAGAGAGTTCAGCAGTGGTTAAAACAGGTGATTTGTTTAAATTTGATTTGATTTGATTTATTCTTTCAAGCATTTAAAACAGTTGATAGGACAACACGCAGTTCTACACACAATCCAATACCCATTTGCTTATACCTAGTACATGTTTGAATGGAGTAGGAAGAAGTCAGACTTATCTAGTCCTACCCCATGACATCATCTTAACATCATTAGTTTGCAAGCAATAAATGATTCACTATTAAACACCCAAATTACACTAAAAAAAAAAAAAGAAAAGAAAGAATATAATAGTGTTAACATCCATACATGATACCAGTGATATACTAAGGAAGGATAACAAAATATACAGCACACCCACAATAGTCCATGTAATTAATCATTGAGCCTGTTCTTGCATATATCTTGATTGATACATACCTTTATATTTACAGCTAAACTCCTTAATTCTATTACTATGTTCACACTTAAAATTATTCCATAGTTTTACACTACTTATGAAAATACAAAACCGTTTTGGTTGTAGGTACAGCATGCATTTTTAAAAATTTAACTGATCCTTTAAATTCTATCTACTTTCCTTTCAATAAATATTTTTTGAATTCCACCAGGTAATAAATTGTTCCTGGCTTTATACATAAACACAGCAGTCTTATATCCCACTAAATTAAAACATTTTAACAATGTAGACCGTATGAAAGCTCCATTGGTGTGATCCCTGTACCACATCATATGCACAATTCGTATGGCTCCTTTATGTAATATATACAAGGGTTGAAGTGAGCTTGTGTATGTATTTCCCCAGTTTTCAACGCCATACTCTAAGTATGGTAGAATCAATGAGGAATACAAAATGTGTAGTGCTTTCCCATCCAAA